GGCTCTGTGATAAAGGAGACAAAAAAAAATCCTGGTCATTGCCACTGATCATTGCCAATAGCCTCTGTCACATCATCTTCAACAGGCAGCACCAAATCCCTGATCCTGCAAAAAGCACGATTGGCTCCTGCAAAAAAAAAAAAAAAAAAAAACAGCCTTGGAACTGATGGAATTGAACAGTTTGATCCACTTCCCCAAAGATGTCAGTGTTCCACTGATTCAGGTTTGCTTTAATTTGGAATAAACCCTAAAATCTTGCTGATCTTTTCTTGTCAAGCCAGTTTTGCGTCTTGTGCCCATCTCGGCTGAGACCACTGCCTGCCATGCTGAGCAGTTCCAAAGCAGAGACGCTGGGAGCCCCACGCACCTCCAGCTGCAAAACAGAGTGTCCTCAAAGTGAAAAATATTACAGAATCACAGCATGGTTGATGCTGGACAGGACCCCTGAAGATTGCATAGTCCAACCTTCTGCTCAGAACAGAAACAGGTAGAGCAGGTTGACTGGCACCTTGTCCAATCAGCTTTTTAATATCTCCAAAGACAGAGTCACCACAGGCAATGTTCCAATGTTTGGCAACCGTCACCATAAAGCCATTTTTCTTATTTAAATGGAATTTCCTGCATTTCAATTTGTTCACATTGCCTCTTGTCCTGTCACTCAGTACCACTACAAAGACTTTGGCTGAGTCTTTTTCATACCCTCCCATTGGCTATTTATACACGTTGGATAGGATAAGGATAAGATAGAATAGAGAATAGAATAGAAAGAATAGAATAGAATAGAATAGAATAGAATAGAATAGAATAGAATAGAATAGAATAGAATAGAATAGAATAGAATAGAATAGAATAGAATAGAATAGAATAGAATAGAATAGAATGGAATGGAATGGAATGGAATGGAATGGAATGGAATGGAATGGAATGGAATGGAATGGAATAGAATAGAATAGAATAGAATAGAATAGAATAGAATAGAATAGAATAGAATAGAATAGAATAGAATAGAATAGAATAGAATAGAATAGAATAGAATAGAATAGAATAGAGAGTAGACTATTTCAGCTGGGAGGGACCTACAACAATTCAGGGCTGACCAAGTTAAAGCATGCTGTTCAGGGAATTGTCCAAATGCCTCTTAAACACTGACAGGCTTGGGGCACCGACCACCTCTCTAGGAAGCCCGTTCCAGTGCTTGACCACCCTCTTAGTAAAGCAACGCTTCCTAATGTCCAGTCTGAACCTCCCCTGGTGCAGCTTTGAACCATTCCCACACATCCTTTCAGCGGATCCCAGGGGGAAGGGCTCAGCACCTCCCTCTCCACGTCCCCTCCTCAGGAAGCTCCAGGGAGCAGTGAGGTCGCCCCTCAGCCTCCTTCTCTCCAAACGAGACAAGCCCAAAGCCCCCAGCCTCTCCTCACGGGACGCGCCTTCCAGCCCTTTCACCAGCTTTGCTGCTCTCCTCTGAACGCATTCAAGGACCTTCACATCCCTCTTAAATCGTGGGGCCCAGAAGCGCACACAGCACTCAAGGTGAGGCTGCACCAGCACCGAACACAGGGGGACAACCCCCTCTCTCACCCGGCTGGTTACGCTGGGCTGGATGCCCCCCAGGGTGGGCTTTGCCCTCTCGGCTGCCAGGGCTCGCTGCTGACTCCTCCTGAGCCTGCTGCCACCAGCACCCCCACATCCCCTTCTGCAGGGCTGCTCCCCAGCCACCGCTCTCCCCGTTTATACTTGTGCTTGGAAGTATAAAGAAATATAAGATCCACCCTGGGCCTTCTCTTCTCCAGGCTGAACAGTCCCAGCTTTCTCAGCCTCTCTTTATATGACGGTTTCTTTCAGTAGGCAAGAACCCTCACTACTGCTACGTTGTGGCTTACTTCAATGTGTTCGCCTCCAGTATCTTATGGCTGCTCTTAGACCTTTCTCAAAATAAAATAGGTCACTAGTAGCAGGTATTTTTTCCCAGTATTCTATACCGTAACTAAATCACTGTTCAGTCTTCTTGTTTTAGATAGTGTAGCTCATTGGTTTCTTTAAGAAGACTTTCTTACAGCCTCAAACCACAACCCCACCATGGTTCTTTTCTGAGCTGTCTCCAGCTTTCTAGCTTGCCTGTAAATGTGGTGAAATCCCCAGGATTGCCCTGTGAGGCGCCAAACACTGGTCACTCACTCCTACTTCCCACTCTCCTATTTAGGTCAGCACGAATCTTGTTAGCTGACTTTGCTGGAGATTTGACCACCTTAAGTGTCTGCCCCTCTTTAGTTGCACGAGCAGCCCATTAGCCTTTTTTGACAGAGTAACAAAATAAGAACTCAAGCGATCTTGTGTATCCTCCATGACTTGCGAAGTTTTTCAGGGGTCTTTCTGTGAGGATAGCTTTTATTCATATGTGTTCCTACCTGAATAAATTTCTCCTGCCTGTAAGAAAATTTACTTTGTTTGAATACACCTGTCTTACTAAGTCATCCAGATCTCTTTGAGTGGCCGATTCCTCTTGCTATCATTTTATTCACATTTGTGTCATCTGCAGGGTTTTACCTGCAGTAATTTTGTATTTACCTTCAAATCACGGATGGAAATGTTGACTGGTTTTCATTCAATTATTGATCCCTGCAGAAAGCAACCAAAATAACTAAACAGCATTTCCAACCGATAATTATTTTTTCTATCCATTCGAAGTTTTCAATTCACATACTGTATGCTTTATTGACTTTGCATAGTCCATTTTCTTAATCAATACAGCATACTGTAATTTTCTTTATATCAATAGGTCATGCCTTACAAAAGTTGTGTACCATAACACTATGAATTTACTTTATCAAACACAACTTTATTATCAAATAGAATGCTGAGTGTCACATCCCAAAAAGCCATGTCCCTGTTCTATAATTCTCTATTAGCAAGCATCTGTATCAGATTTTCCATTATTTTCCACTGGACAGTTGTCAGCTACTTGGCCTGTCGGTCCGTTGGTTTTAGGGCTTCTCCACTTTAAATACAGCAACTGTGTTGGTACCTTAACACTTCTCTGCTAGTTCTACAGTAATCAAAGAATAATTAAAGCCAAATCTCAGTGAGCCAGAGTTGAGCAGCATTTATTGTGGTTTTGGGTATTGAAAGATTCTAAGAGATGAAAGCAGACGGAAGAAAACTGTATCTTGAAAAGGGTGAGTTGATAAGGTAGGTTGGGGAGTTGGAAGGAAGACACAAGCAATAAGTGATGTAGGGAGCATGAAAACTACAAAAGAGCAGTACGGAGGTGATGTTTCTGAGAGAAGAATGAGCAAAAGGTGTTTATCTGGTGATGGGTAGTAGAAAGGGAATGTTAGTGAGGAAGGTAAGTAATGGTAAAACACCAGTAGGTGAGAAGAAGCTGGGAAAAGAGAGCTGAAGGTTGGGGAACTACAGAAGAGTATGTGCAGGAAAGGATCCGAGGTGAAAGAAAAGCTGGGACGTTAGAAAGTATGGTGCTAGAACAGCGCATTTTTAGAAGCTACAAAGCCACTGAGAGTGGAAACTGAGCTGCAGATGTTTCCAGCAATAGGATCAGGCTAAGAGCTGGAGTAGATTATGGACAGCATAATCCTGGAGACTGGGAAGAGGTAGCAAAGTAAGAAGAGATTCTAACCCCCTAATTCTCTCCTTGCTACCTGTTTCAAGGATGAAAACGTGAACCTAGAAGGATACTGGGGGATTAACAGAGGTGTGTTGCTGGAGAAGGTTTAAAGTGGTGATAGTAAATGGAAGAAGCAACGTCTTCTAGAGGGGCAATCAGGCAACTAAAAGAGCATGAAGGACATTCTCCTAGGACCTGAAGGCAGTACAAGGGAGGAGGTGTGCTTGGCTTGGTGTAGGATAGTCTTGGAAATGGTTCCTTGGGACTGAAGGATTCAGGAGAACAGAAGCGGGGAAGAGGTGGTAGTAGAGGCTCTTACAGAGAGGGGCTGGTTCTGTGAGGAGGGAGCAGTCAATCTGGAGGAAGATGAGTGAGAGCAAGGCAGTGGTGTAGGACTGCTGGGAGGTATCACTAGGGGAATTTTGCTGAGGTTGTTCGTACAGATAAAGTTATGGAACCTGTGGTTACAGCTCCTCTGTTAGCCTTCCCCAGTGATGCCCAGGCCAACAGTCCTCACAGTGTTACCATCTTCTCAGCTGAATCCTACACGTGGATGTTTGTGGCAGCGAGCTCGCCTTTCCACTTGCGCCTAAGCAACTCAAGGAGGAAGAGGGGTGAATTGTGCTCCAGCAGGGCTGTCGGTGTTTGCAGAAGGCCATTTTCCCGAGTGGCAGGAACTAGAAGGGGACACCCATGCGAACCGACACCGAGACTCCTGCTGCTAACATCCCTCCGTGCAGAAGATCCCGTCTCTTACCTGGTCCTGAACACAAGGAAACGGGAAGAAAGGCATGGCAGTGGGCAGGTGACAGCGTATGATTCCCTGTGGCACCCCACCTCCGTGGCTCCCAAAGCTATCAGCAGCCCCCAGGTACCACCCGCAGCCACATGCTGGGGACTCCCCAGCACCCCTCAGAGGGTCCTGCTGGAGACCCTGGCAGCATCCAGGGCTGTCCCCTGCCTTGCACAGGTTGTCCTGAGATGGCCGCAGGCTCCGTCATGCCCCATCTCCCACAGCAAACGGGCCCCAACAGGCATTTTATTATGAGGGAAAAAGAGCCACATACAGCAACACAAGAGTACATATTTTGCTCCATTTCAAGACAAGGCAGGTGCTGCAGCCCCTAGAAAACACCCTGGAGCCCCTGTGGCCAGGAAGCGAGTGGGTGCTTCACACGCAGGCGGTGGTTTCCAAGAAAAAGGAGGTGTTTTCAGGCCCCGGGGAAGCACAAGGAGGTGGCGCTGGGCAGCACAGAGCCATGGGGTGAGGACCGTCAGCCGGCGAAGGAGCCTGGCTCTGTGGCAGCGGGGACAGCACTGAAAAAGAGTTGCTCTCTGGTTCACCACGGCCTCTCACGCCCGGGGCCACTGCGGCGCCCCAGACCCCAAGGGCCCCGGCAGGGTGAGGCACTCCTCCCCTCCCGCCACGGGGAATGGGCCCTAGGGGGTCACCGCAGCCTCCTCGCCGCGCCTGTCCTCCAGCCGCCAAGGGCAATCGACGTAGCGCAGTGCCCCGCCGACGGGGCCGCGCTTGGCGGGATCCAGGGCCAGCAGGCTCCGCAGCATCAGGGCAGCCTCGGCGGTCAGGCGTTTCCAGTGGCGGGGCAGGTCCTCCTCCAGGCCCGTCTCCTGCCACAGCATGAAGTCCTCAAAGAAAGGGTCATCCGGCAGGCTCTGCTCCCAGGGGAAGTAACCAGTCAGCAGGCAGAAAAGCAGCACGCCAAAGGCCCAGGCATCCAAGCTGGTGTCAATGGGCACCCCCTGGGCGTCAGCGGTGTTGCTCAGCTCCGGGGCGGTGTAAGGGATTACCCCGGCCACCAGCTTGAGCTTGGTGCCCTTGGGCCGCGTAAGCCCGAAGTCCGTCAGTTTGATGCGCCGACACTCGGGGTCGAAAAGCAGCACGTTCTCCGGCTTGACGTCACGGTACACGAGCCCTCGGCTGTGGATGAACTCCAGGGCGCTCACGAGCTGCTTGGCACACTGCTTTGCGGCTGGCTCGGGGATCCCGTCCTGCGCAGGGAGAGACGAGGCGGGTGGAGCACACGCAGGGCAGCTTGGCAGCCCGGGCGCCTGGGCTCCCACCCACGTGCTCCGCACTGGGGAAGACATTCGTGTTTCTGGTCGTGCAAGCCCGTAGCGGCTTCCACGCTGTAGACCCCAGAAAGTCCCACGGCCCGTGGGCTTTAACTCCCTCCCTCCGACCCAACAAGCCTCCACAGGGGACGGACGCTACAGCCCCAGTCCCCCTGGCCTTTTAGCAGCACTCACCCGGGGTTTGATGATGGAGATGAGGTCTTTGTGCAGTGCCGGCTCATAGAGGAAACCGTAGTACTGGCTGGACTCGATGGCAATTCCAAACATGCTGATGATGGCAGGGTGGGTGGCAAGGGAGAGGGCCACACAATACTCATACAGGAAGGTGTGCAGCTTGGTACTGGCTTTGGGCAGCAGCTTGAGAGCCATAGGAGTCCCTGGGGATGGGGAGAGTGGGTTAGACCCCCCTGAAGGTCACTCACATCAAGTCCAGATAGAGATGGCGCTGAGCAGCCATGGGTCCAGACACTCAGAGCCACGGGGAAGTCTTGGACCCAAAGGTTTGTCTGGATATATCCTGTGGACACCAGATCTGGGAGCAGATGAGTTTTGAGCCTGCCAGTGCATGCCCAGGAGCACTGGGCAGAGCAAGGGAAATTCAGGCTACGTGGCCCACCGGTCTGAGCTGGGACTACTGGGGAGGACTAGTGTCAGGACTCTGTGGGCACTCATAGGCCTTAACGGCCTTGGCCAACCCCACCCAGGACCTCTGCTCACCCCCCCTCTCCATGGTGACCATTTAAGCTCAGGCGTGGGGCTTCACTCCCTGTCTGAGCTATGTGGTGGGAGCGCTGGTTTCCAGCCATATCACATCCATGCCAGTGCCTAGCCGTGAAACCTATTGATCCTGACTTGTGGATGGACTTCTCGGCTTGGTCGTGGACCTACCTCATCACTATAACCTTGCCTGACGTTCTGGGCTGCCCCCCGGTATCAACTGCTCCCTGGCTGGATGCAATGGAAGGGGAAATCCGTCCTGCTGGTCTCCCTGGGGACCCCCCCACCATGCCTGCTGCCTAGCCCCAAGGAGCCACCGGCCCCCCCAGAGCCCTGACAAGTGGAGAGGAGACAAGGCACGGTAGCTCATAGGGCGCAGTCGGTTCCTTACCTCTCTGCCTGTGGGTCACTAGCATCACGTGGCCGTACTTGCCCCTGCCCAGCTCCCGAATAACCTCATAGTGCTCGGCCACCTCGGTGCGCACCAGGCTCTGGGCTGTGATCTCCAGGAGCTCATCCAGCACGGTCGGTCCCGCTGTCCCTGCCGCTGCCACAGCCGCAGCTGAGCTCTCGGCCATCGCTGAGTGCTGCGGGAACACCACAGCCTGGGTCAGGAACGTCACAACACGCACCGAGAACGCCAGCTCAGACACGCCGCACAAACCCTGCCGCGTCAGGGGATATTTTTGTCGCTTGGAGCCTGAGCACTCTCACAGCTGTGCTAGAGCTGAGCTTGTGCTTTTATTCAGCACACCTCTGGGCAAAGCCCCCTCTTTATATAAAAAGGGAAGGGTGTTGAAGGGAACCTCCTGCAGCCCTCTAATCACTTCTGTCCTCTAGGCAGATGCTCAACTCTAATTGTAGTCCCTGGGGCCTCTCATTTCAAGGACCCAGATCACCTTTCTGTGTCAGCTGTACTAAAGCTTGGCCTTCCCAGCCTTCTCTTATTCTAGTCTCCAAGGTATTAGGTAACAAGAAAAAAAAAATTAACAGAGACCCAGATTATCAAGCGTGACTCGGTCCTCTTGCTCACCTTTGCCTACTGCAGCAGCACCGTGTCGCTCTACTCAGAAATCCACCCCTTATCGAAGAATGTCCTTGAGGTAGCAGCAGAGGCAGCCTTGCCCCTTAAGCAGAGGCAGAGCTAGCCCGTGACAAAAAAGGGGTTACCAGTCAGAGGGGGTGTGCTTCAAGCAAGCCAAAAGAGCTCAGTACCTCGCACACCTGCTGACATTTCTGACCCAAAGTCACTCATCTGTGCAGCCAAGAAACTTAGGCAGGAAGGAAGCTCGGACATCAATGGCATTTTGAGCTACAGCCAGCTGCTTCAGACCCATTTCAGAGACATGCTTCTTCAGTGCCCCCAGCCAGCTACAAGGCGGCATTTTACAGCAGCTGTGGCAGCACTCTCCCCCTGACTGCCTGCCTGTGCTCTGAACACAGGCATCCCAGGCCTGGGAGCCCCTCCTGGCTCTGGAGCAAGGTCACAGAACCAGAGTCACAGAATGGTCGAGGTCAGGAGGTACCTCTGGAGATCACCTAGTGCAACCTCCTGCTCAGAGGAAGGTTAGCTAGAGCAAGTTGCTCAGGGCTGTGTCCAAGTCCAGTTCTGAATATCTCCGAGGATGGAGACGCCACAACTGCTCTGGGCAACTTGTTCCAGTGTTTGATCACTTTTATGGTAAAAAAGTGTTTTCTTGTGCTTCAGCAGAAATTCTGTGTCTCACTGCCTCTTGTCCTGTCACTCAGTATCACTAAGGAGACTCTGGCTGTATCTTTTTTACAGGTTTTTATGCACATTGATAAGATGATCCCTGCAAGCCTTCTCCTCTTGAGGCTAAACAAGTCCCAGCTCTCTTTGCCTCTCCTCATATCAGAGATGCTCCAATATCTTAATCATCTTCACAGACCGGATTAGTTCCAGTATGCCCACAGCTCTCTTCTGCTGAGGAGCCCAGAACTAGACCCACTACTCCAGGTATGGCCTCAGTGGGGCCGAGCAGAGAGGAAGGATCACCTCCCTCGAGCTGCTGGTAACACTCTGCCTGATGCAGCCCACCACGCAACCCAGGGGCCTGAGGGTTGCACCATTCTTCCGCGGGTCTTAAACAGTGTGCGGTGAGACAGAGCTCCGGTGTAAAAGCAGTGGCTCACCTCTGCACCTACAAGCTCAGGAATCTTTTCCCAGGAAACATTCTGGCTCACATGACACCTTTTGGGATAGGGAATCAGACCTCACATGGCTAAAAAGGAAGACGGCGCCCTAGGAATATGAGTGGGAACAGACAGAATGAAGCCTTTTCCCTTCGTTTGTACATTGCTCTATCTGTGACCAAACCTTATTACAGTCCCCATTGCTGCTAAATCTGGTCATTCTTAAGAATTCAGTAACTTAGCAACAGAATTACTTAAATTTAGGAAAAACACAAAAAGGCTGGATTTGCACAGGAGGCTGGGACTACTTGTGGAAGAGCTCCTCTTCTCCCTTCCCTTCTCTCCTAGACTGCATGGCTAAATCTTATTCAGTTCAGAAACATGAAGTAATTGGCCCTACTTTTCTGCAAAGGCTTTGACTCGGTGTGATAGCCAACAAAAGTCAAAGTTAGTACAGTAGGGAGTTCAACAACGAACAACTGTGTGCATGGGAGGGGATGAATGGAAGGCTGGGGAGAAACGTGCAGGGAAAGACAGTCTGGAAAGTATTTTAGAGATTTTGCTTTGATGTCCTCCTGTTTGCCAGCACAGCTTGCGAAATGCCACACAGCAAGGGCATTGCAGAACCCACAAACAGACCCACTCTCCCACCAACATTTCCAAACTGGTGTTGCCACATTCAGGTGTTAAAATGAATAGCCGAAAAAGCCTTTTGAAGAGTCCTAGCCAGGAATATAGAGAAAAAAACTTAAAATGTAATTGACCCTTCTGCTTGTCTTGTGCAGAACGCATTAGATTTATATTTGTGAAAAAATATCGGAAGATCTCTTCTGTAAGACAGTTTCCCCTGTATCAAATTCATGGTCATATACAAGCTCTTGTCAGCAAATTGTTCATGGTCTTCTCAGATAACTTAATTTCTCAAACTTGAGTTGGATAAAATTTCTTCTTCCCTTGTAGGCTGGCCACCTGCTAGAGCTATCTAACCCAAAGGTTAGAATCTTCTCACTGCATCCACTTAATGTATTATTCAATAATGATATCATTTTCAAATATCTATTCATTAATCTGTTTTTATTTGTATTTAATTATTTATCATATGATTCATCTATCCTATTTTGTATATGATTCATTACTCCTCTCCTGTTTATTGCGTGAAAACTTGCTGTTGTGAATGGGAGGATCTGCTTCTCTGTACATTCCTGGTTCTCACTCCAGCTTTGAGAGTCAAAACATTCCAGTCTATAAACTTTTGCAATCAAAAAGATAAAAACAAACCAGCAAACTGAAAAACTCTTGTGTCCTTCCACGCCACCTTTCAAGTGAACTGCAATACAGGTGGCAAGCGTCTTTACTTCTGTGCACAGCTCCCCCTGACACGGGAGGGCAGATTGTCTGGGTAAAGAGTAGAACATCAAAGTGAAATTAGCCAGCTTGGAAAAATGGATCAGCCAGAGGATATGGGCAGAGTGTCTTGAGGGACGGTGACAATCCCGTGGGTCTCATCAGGGCTCCAGCTGAAGAAAGCCCCAGCTGCAGTCACTCCAGAATAGTCTGCAGGCTTTGGCCCCTGTTGCCCTTGAGGAAACTGAATACAGGACATGGTCTGTACTTCAGGGAACAGCCAAAGCCGTCAGGTCTTTCTCTGAGACACCGCTGCCATTATCTAGGAGGCTGAGGGACAGATCTGGGTCACCACTGAGTGAGACTGAGTGCTCTGCACCTAACTCTACTGCCTTCTAGAGTGCCGTTTGCCCTTTGCAGAGTGACAAGCACCGGGGAGGGGGCCAACAGGGCCCTGGCCAGGATGCACTCACCATGTGGCTGTGCTGTGCTGAAGGCAGCGGGCAGGGTCCTCTTCAAAACTGCTCTTTCCTCCACTGCCCTTCCTGTGCTTCATCCTTTCTAAAGGTCCCGCTTCCAGGCTGTCGACATGTGGGAAATCCCAATTCCCCAAAAGAGTGTCTAATTGCAGCAGTGAGAAATTCGCATCCTTTCCACCATCAGGAGATAGCCTGTGGAGCTACAGTGTCTTAGTCTAGCTAATGTTATTCTGGTTCTTCAATGTCTTAGTCTAGCTAATGTTATTCTGGTTCTTCAACCAAAATAATTAATATATTTGGTCCAGAAAAGCACTTCTTACATGTCAAGAGCCAAAGATGGGTAATGGCTGTATAACAGAGACGGTGCTATGATGACAGAATCGCAGAGGTGTTTAGGCTGGAAGGGACCTCTTGAGATCATCTAATCCAATTCCCCTGCTCAAGCAGTGGTAGCTGAAGCGGGTTCTCTAGGAAGTTGTCCAGTCAGATTTTTAATATCTTCACAAATGGAGACTCCACAATCTCTCTGGGCAGCATACCATGCTGTTTGACCACTCTCACAGTAACAAAAAAAAAAAAAAAAGTTTTATTGAGTTTAGATGGAATTCCTTGTGTTTTAATTGGTGGACATTTCCTCTTATCCTGTCAATGAGCACTACTGAGAAGAGTCTGGCTCCCTTTTCATCATTCCCTCTCATGAGGTATTTATATACACTGATAAGATCCCTCTGAGTCTTCTCTTTTCCAAGCTGAAGAGTTTCAGCTGTCTCAGCCTCTCTTTTATCAAAGATGCTCCATTAAAAGATGGCTTTGAGCATATGGCATGTAAGGTCCATTTTCTCATTTGACCTTCTACAGAGCTTTAACCCAAACTGAATAACCAACAACATTTGGGGCACCTCTTACAAAAAGTCACGCAGGCTTGATTCAAAGACAAACTTTGGTCAACTATAAAAGCCAGTGATAACATTCTTGTTGCTATTTATTCATATGATATCCTAATCCAAATTTACCTAACCAGCTGCTGAACTTTCTCAGCTAGAGAAGAGAGTTTTTTAGTGCCTGTTCCATTTCTTCTGACTCTCGCAGGGTTTATATGCATTGCAGTCAGAGGTACAACCACAGCCTATAAGAATATATTTTAAACTATATAGATTGAGTAAAACAAGCAGGGTACAGCATGAAATTCAGGCTATGTGTTTAACCAAAGCTTTACGTAGGCTTCACAAACCGTCTGGCCCGCTGTGCTTCTATAGTGCCCACATCAGTTAGTTAAAAACCAGATAGGATGCTTCCAGAAATTGTAGTCACATTTTGAATTTTGAACAAACAACTCTATGCTCTCTGACCAAGACACCTCTGAGTCTTCTTATTGGTCACATGCCTTCAAACAACCTTCTGTCTGGTTCTCAAACCAAGGCCTTTTGTCTAGCTCTCAGATCTGTTTTTTGGCTCTTTTCTGAAGCCTCACCATTTTTTCTGCCCCCTCGTGTTCAAACACTAGTTGTTCCTGGGGGAATGCCTCCTGTGCGGCATTCAGCTGGAATTACCCTCTACCTCACGCTGCGGCCCCAAGACCTCTGTTTGCAGGAACACCACGCTGAGAGGCTGCACTACCTTATACACCCATTCAAACGCCAGAGCTTTTCCAAATTACTGGGTTTTGAGAGGAAAAACTCCACTTCCTCTTCACATCCCTTTCTGGGTGCTACCTGCCTTATTTCTACCTGAATCCTTTTCACTGCCTTCAGTAAAGCATATTTTGCTTGACTGGACTTTGTGTATCGAGTAATTCAGATCACTTTGTGTCTCTGTTATCAAACCGCCCCGTTCATTTCTGCCTAGGGGCTGTGTAAGGACCCTGCATGCAGGGGGTTCCCACCAACCTCTAAATCATTGGAGGGAGTTTGAAGCAGTTCTCAGCCCGGTATTTGTTCCTACAGCACCTTTCAGAAACAGCCTATTCACTGATAGTTCCCTGAAAGTTATCTGTACAAATTCATCCGAAAACTGGTCAAAATCAACAAGGCTTGTATTTTTAATGGATTGGAAAATGAGCCCAGTGGAACGGAAATTATCGTATTTTATTGGTGTCCTCACCCTGCACAATTAATTTTGTTAAATCCTGATTCTGTTATAACACTTATATTTGTCAGTGTTCTAGAAGAAAGCATTGAAATCATCCAGAAAATGTTTGCAAATGACACAAAACGAGTTTGGGTAGATAATGCATTGCTTGCTAAAACTAGTGCATGCACATACACACGTACAAAAGTGTATCAAACGATCAGAGAAATCAGGAGTCTAGTCTGGCATTGAGTGAAAGAAAAAAAAAAAAAAACTCCTGTTAATCAGAAAAATCTAAGTTCTTCACACTGCTTTGTAGATAAAATGGGCACTGTGTAAATCCAGAAATATATATCCGATATAGCCTCACTTCCTTTGCAGACTTTAATATGTAGGATGATACAGAACCGTACTAGAAATAATCTACAGTGATACAGATACACATTCTAATGATACCAATACAAGTCTAAGAGCGTCACAGTACGAGGGTTACTGAACATTGTAGATCCCACTTTTGCATTCACTCTGCTGAAGAGAATGCCCCAAAAGACACAGGAAACACCAGCAGTGAGAGACAAACTAGCCTTTTCTGAATGCTAGATTAAGAAAATAAACTTCACTGTAAACAAAAATATAGATATAGCCATTCAGATTTACATAGACTAAGATAGATCATAGCAGAAGAAGAGATCTGCTCTGAGACGATGCGTGTCTTACAGTGAACTCTAGTTTCTGCAGAGGTTCCTACACACAGATGCCCTGAGACAGTCTGAAACTTAATCTCTGAAAATCAGCTGAGTTAGGAAAGCTGTACTTCTGAAGAGCTGGCCACATGCTAATGACTTCTGCACTAGAACTGAGAATATCCTGCATCCCTGGATTTTGTATTTTTATTGGAAATGCATTCCTTCCATTTGCTCTGCATTGCATTATTATTTATCTACTTTTTAATGAGATTTTTCTGAATGTTAAAAAGCCACTGATGTGAAAGCCTGGTTTCCTTAGGGTAAATTTCCTGAACTCTTTTAGAGGCCAGCTGATGGGTCAGCAGAACTAGCTATTGGATGTTTTCTATCTTTTCAGGGGTATCGGTTCAGAAATCTAGCGCGGGCATTCACGGTTTGACAGAAAAAGGATCAGAGGACAACCATGAGAATGACAACAGGGCTGACAAGTACAGGGGGAACTTCCAGGGGAGCAGCCTATTTAGCTTATCAAACAGGTAGTGAAGAAGTGACTCTATCACCTCTATGTACCTTTGTGGGTACTAGAAATTCACTATAGAGGGCCCTCCAAATTAAGTAAAAGCATTATTATAAAACCCAATAGCTGAGGCTGAAATGTGGCAGTTTCAGACCTCGGTTGTCATGCAGATTTTGCGAAGAAGGAGATTTGCCCCTAAAAACCTCATCAAAGAGTATGGAAGAATATCCCTCGGTCTCTGGGACTTTTAACTGAAGAATGGCATTTTTTTTTTTTTTTCCCTAGGAGGCCCGCTCTAGCGCAAACCACATTTAACAGAGGCGAGAGATCCGAACAGATTGCCACGGCGGTTGATTCTGGCCTTATTGCTGATAGATTTGTGAGCTTCTTTCCGAAACTGGCCAGTGGGCTGGTGCTTAATCTCGCCGCGGAAAACCGCATGACTGTCCCCTCAGCGGAACAGCGCATTGCTCTTCTCGGGCAGCAACACCCAGCAGCCCCCCGCCCAGAGAAAGCCCCGCAAGCCTCTCCCCAGCAAGCGGGATGCCGCAATCGCGGCACGGCAGCCTCCTCGGACAGAAATCGGCAGCGATCTCGCTGGGACCGAGCCACATCCCAGCCTCCTCCCAACCAGCCGGCCGGTACCCTGGCACCATCCCACCGGACACAACCGGGCACCGAGCGACCTTTTGGGGCAGGGCCAGCTGACGAGCTCACCGCTCCGCCAGATGCGGGGAAACCGGTGCGCGCGCTCCGCGTTTGCGGTGGCACGCTACGCCGGGGTCTCCGGAACGGGTTTGTGAGGGGTGGGTGCCCTTTTACGCTCCTGCCTGGTGCCCTTCATCCTGCCACGGCCGTACCTCCTCTTCCCACGCTCCTTCCCCGCCCGCAGTAAGCCCCTCACCTTCTCCAGCAGCGCAGCGCTGGTGGCCGGCCGGGGGCTGCCCCTCTTGCCCCGCTTCCCCCCTCGGTGCAGCCTCCGGGCTGGGTCCAGCCTGCGCCGAGCAGCCGGAGGGGGCTGCCAGGCATTACAGGGATAAGCGTGACGCTCCGCCCCTTCCCCATGTCTCTGGTCCTGGGGGCACGCTGCCTCCCTGCTGAAGGTGACCCCTGGGAGGGGAGAAAAGAAGGGGGGCTATCCCTCTGCCCTGTTTCTGGGGGGGGGGGGGGGGAGTGTCGGAAGAATCGGGGTGGGGTTGTCGTTTCTGCTCTATCCATCCCATCAGAGCCCCCCGGGACCCTTCGGCGGACCCACCCTTTCCAGCCCTCCCTTCCTTCCAGCTTGGGCTCCCGTTACAGCTGAGGGAGCAGCGCTGCTTCCCGGGCTGGGGCACGGTCGTAGCTCTGGGGCTGTGCCGAGTAAGAATACATCCCTGATGGCAGGGCTCAGAACGGCCCTGGGCTGCCAGTGCTTGCTCTTGGCCACCAAAGGATCCAAAGTCACAGTTGCCTGCGTCAGTGGGCATCAGAGACCGGGCACAAAGCATAGCCCGTTCAAGGTCCCCTCACGGGGCCGGCTGGGTCAGGCTCCTCACACACATCAACACCACAGAGCATTACGGCAAAGCTGAAATTATTAATGGTAACTACAGTGACTTGCAGACTTAGTTATTACCTCCACCCAGACTGTATTCCTGTGCCAAAGTCCTCTTTCTTCCACTTGAGCATGGAGAGGAAAGCAACTCCTGGGGACACGGACGCCTTCGCGTACACACAACAGCCCATCTCACTCCCACCGGAATAGCAGCAGTTCTTCAAGTACACAACGTTAAAGGATCGGGGTTGGATTCATATTAGTGAGTGCTCGAAAGTCAGGCGATGCCAGAGGTGTGGTTGCAGCTGGAACGCTGCTCCTTCAGAGAGAAACGCGCCGGGGCTTCAGCGAGTACCCGACGAGCCACTGAAGGGACTGGCTGTTCCAACACACCATTAGCAGGACACGCAGTTTCTCAAGCGTTGGTCTTAGCGTGAACTCTTTTTCACAATGTCCCTGCCTAATGACTGGTGATTTCCACAGGAGGTAAGGTGGGTGAGGAGGTCTGTCCTCGCTGTTTCAGAGTTACTCAACCCCACATAGCTCTTTAGTTTCCATCCTGTACTATCAGAGGCACCAACAGCATCTGGGGTGATGGAAGGTTTGATGCCACTTGAACCCCAGAGAGCATTCTTCCATGCTATGGATGCTTATCAGCAGGGGTATGTGTGAGAAAGCTGCTGAAATACAAACATCAAGCTCCATTACCAAGACCTAAACTGGCACTGCTCTTTTAATGTTGTAGTCTATGGCAATACTCAGTTTGTCTATATGTATTCAGGCTGCCCATAAGCATTTACCCAGAACATCACTGATGGCAGCTTCTCAGCCCAGTCACCACCCCTTCATTTTCAGCACGCAGTTTTGCTCAGCCCTTTTCAGAACCAGATTTTTGCCGGATGCTGGGGTAGGAATAGCTCTTTGGATTTCCCCATTGCCTTTCTACTTCTATTAATAATTCCTCCCCTCCAGGCTCAGCAGGCAGGCAAGCAAGCCAATCTGCAGGGTGCTAGAGGGTGGGGGGCTGCTGCCTCCTGGACAGAGAGCTGGGGCCCTAAGCTCTTCTCGGCACAGGCAGGGTGCTCGGAGGACTCCTGCACCAGCTGTGCAGACCATTTGTGCTCTGAGCTCATCCAGAGCTACCCCATCGCTGAGGAATCCGCTGGCCGCCGGCCTGACAGCGCCGTGCAATGTCCCACCTTGCCCTGCCAGCCCACGCAGCACACCTGTGCTGAGCCCAGGCCCTGCTCCCCAGGGGCGCTTTCCAACCGTGCTCCCCAGCTTCAGCAAAACCCCTCATACCCGAAACCTTCGGGTTACCCGCCGGCTACCGTACCTGCTTCAAAACACCCTGCCCCAGTCCCACGTCAGCCTGCTCCCTCCACGTTGCTGGCGGGTGCAGAGTGGTTGCAGAGGCAGTGCTAATCCATTGGGATCCATGAGCACTGATCCCAGTGCCTCAGAGCAACGCTGGGGCAGTGCCCTTCCACCCAAGACAGGGACGGGGACTCGCCGTAGCTGTATTTTTAACCTTTTCCATTGTGATCTCTCCCAGCCTGTCCTCCGGGGCTTAAAACAATATACAGTATCGAGTATCCAGGATGCACATCAGCCTTCTTCCTGAAGCTCAGTGACTTATTTGTCATCACAGGTACAGCTGGGGAGTGTCTGGGTGGCAGCTCAGCACCCACCCTAGCCTGGTGAGACTGGCTCGGGCTCTGAACGGCTTGGAGACAGGTCCTGGGGAGGGCAGGGTTGCCGTGGGGCTTTGCGGGAGAAAAGGCAGAGGAAACTTGCAGGGGAAGAGTGGGACTTGGGTGGTGGAACAGGGATGACAAGTTTTGCTGGGAAAGCTTCTTTCTGTCAGGGCAGAGAGGGGCCAGCTGCTCCTAAACAACAGGCGGCCAGGAGACAAGGGAAATAACAAGGCTGGCAGGGCAAAGACTCCCCAGACAAGGCTTGTCCTGTAGTTTCCCACCCGTGAGAGCAGGGAAAGGCCAAGGATAGACTCATGTTCAGCTCAGAGTCCGGATCATCAGGCGAGCTTGTGGTGATGAAGCAGGTACAAGGTCCAGCCGAGAAGTTGGTTTGCAGGTCAGGGTCAGTCCCAGCAGCGGTAGCCGGTGCCAGACACAGTCCAGAGATTGCCAGTCAGGCCTGAGGTCAAGCCAGGAAGTCTGTCCATTTGCCAGGGTCCAGACGAACAGCATCTATGTCCAGAGACAGCTGTGGAAGAGGTGGAGACAGACCATAACACAGCTCAGGCAGGGGCTAAAAGCCCAGGGCTGAGCTGAAATGGGGCTCCTGGTCCCATGGGCAATGGTTGCAGGTGGAGGTCCAGGTGAGGTTGGTCAGGGACATCAAGACGTATCAGTGCCCTTGGGGCAAGACAGAACAATGGCTTCTGCCTACCTCTCCATTTTTCAGCAGCTTCGTGTCTGCCTCTAGCAACGGGCTGGAAGGCAAAAAATGTTCCCACTCGCTGAGGAAGGCTGATCCCTCCTATGCTACCTCACCTCATTTCTACAGCTTTGTCTTCACAGGCCAGCAGGCCAGCACCCTGCAAAACATCTTCCACGAACCAGCCTTTAGGGACCACTGCTGCTGGGGCATTGCCCTCAACGCTGGCGTCTCATCCAATGCCAAAGCACTGCATGGACCTCTACTAGGACTGTCCCCAAATTTGGGAGGGATGGAAGTGTTCCCCGTGGAGTGTCAGCAAGGAGTGCCTGTTTTCTAACAGCTCTGGGGGGCCGGTGGGCTGGTAGTGCTGGTGGGGGCACATTGGGGTCACACAGCTCATCTGGGCTCTGGTGCTGGCCAGGGGCATCACAGCATCATCGTGCCAGGGGGTCCCTCTCGAGGGCAGTTTGTGCTTCCCAGAGTCATGGGTGCTGGTGGCTGTCGCTGCATCTGCAAGGCGATACTATGGAAGGGCAGAGGCGAGAAATCATGATGGGTCTAGAAAAACATAACACTTGGAATCTGGGCCTGAGTGACACGAAAGGTTGATAGTAAACTAAGGACAAGTGCATTAACTGTACAGATTGATTTAGCTGCTCTGAAATTCAGTTCCATAGAAGTGATCTGTCACATCTAAGACCTTCAAGCCTTCATTTTTCTGAACTGGGGACCTTCCAGAGTCTAAGCTTCAGCTTTCGTTGTCACTGTGGTCCAATGACCCATCTCTGGTATGAGGTGACACTGAGTGAATACCTACCTGTATGGATGGCTGAGAATCTGGGACAAAAATGAATAAGGGGCAGACATGTCAAAATGCCAGCAGAATCAAAACAGGCAGAAAAATCTCCTTAACCTGAGGATATGTTACTGGGTAGGCATGCATGGCAGGGGTAGGGATTTCAATTCCAACATCCCTGCTACCACAATTATTCTCTGCAGAAAAAGGAGGCAGGACAGTTGTGGCTACCTTGAGACCCTGATCCCTGCTAGCCTGGGTTTACCTTCACGCTATTCTACCCTGTAGGAGCTGTAGAACCTGTCTCCTGCTGTGGTATCTGGAGATATTTCAGTTTTCATAGCTCATCCAGGGAACTGCCCTCTGAGGGGTGATCTGCAGGCGTGACACATGCTATAGGATGCCCAGCTGTGCTCCATCCCTAGGGGAGCTCAGATAGAGCTGAAGTCTTCCAGAGAGAATATTTCATCAGCCTCTGTGGCCACATGTAAACAGGCTTCACTCATGGGAGGCTCAGCATCCTCCTTCACCAGAGAGTCAGAGAGCGCTGCGGGTGTGGAGACGTTAGCAGGGATTGTTCCAGAGATGAAAGGATCTTGATCCTCCAGACTAGCCCTGATCTACCTCACCTTTATACTCTGCCATAGCTGGTGGCTCCACCAGTTCTCAGCAACCTCACATACATGGTAAAATATTCCCATACCTTGTGGAGAGGCTTTTCTCTTCTAATCCTCAGCTCTGAATCACAGAACCAGGTAGAAAGGATACGTCCAGGATAAACAGGTCCGTCCTATTGTGTCCTGAAACATCATGTTACCATGCAATGGAAAGTTCTTCTGCAATGACTTTTCCTTACCAGGAAGCTCAGATATTAAGATTTATTTTTTTCAAATATGTCTGTGGTTTTGGCTCCTTGTGTTGGACAGCCCAAGCCTAAGCATCAAAGCTGCCAGCAAGCTGCAGAGCATACCAAGAGTGAAGACAGCAAACAGTGCTGAGCATTTCTCACATTCAGCCTTTGGTTGTTCCTAGCTAGACTCCAAAACTGTGCTTGTAGTAGGAGATCTAAACACCAGAGGTGTCACGTGAAGCAGTACCATATTGCTACTATTTCTGACTATTTCTGGCATATGGCACTGCAAACAGAAAGCTGTTGAAGGCTGTACTGAACAGGTTTGGAAAACTCCTGGGTAGGCTTGGCCAGGAGGAGCGGACATACCAAGATGTTAAACCTAAATGTATTATCCAACCCATGCAAAACAGGGAATAGAAAAAAAGTTTTTGTCCTTGAGTCACATCTTCTTTTGTACCTCCATCAGTCCAGAGTAACTCCACCACCAACAACAAAATTTATTCAATTTGCAGAATATTTTGGCTCAGATAGCACTTATATTCCAAGGGAGATAATTTCAGAGTGATTCCAACAAAATTATGTGTAGTATGAACAGAAACTAGACCTAGAATAACATGTAAAAAAAAAAAACC